AGAAAACACCATCTCCTCCTCCAGATTCCTCTTTAAGCATCGCAGGCCCATACCCACCAGACTTCAGCACCTCCCTGTTATGTCCGGGGCTCTCTGGCATCTAAGAAAAGGTGTGAGGACAGCCATGTATTGGCATATTGGCTGCTATACTCTCACGACTGACAGATCCCGATTAGCCTGCCCAAGGATCTGAGATCCTTCTGGCCAGAGTCACTGCTTTGAATTAGAAGGCCCATGCTGCCCCTTACCTAAAAATATTAACCTGTTACGCTGTAAGCATGTACTATTCTCTCACATGAACTGCCATTACCACCGAGTATCTTGGGGTAATGCAAAGGGGTACCTTTGGGGAGGGTTAAAATTTTTGAAAGGGTTACAGCATAAGGCACTGCATGCTAACCTGACTAGGAGACAAGATTCTGGACACCCAGATGCCACAAAACACCAGTCTAAGCTCAGAAGAAGGAAACAGAAAGTAGAAGGAGCTGGGGGAGGTGAGTTAGAGATAGTGGGGCCTGGAAAAGTGACAGCATGGTGTAACTAAGGAACTACAGCGTCCTGACATACGGTTACCACTTTCCATCCTCTGCCAAGGCTGCCATCGTGAATCCACCACACTACTTGCTTCTGAACCCCGATGTGCCTGGATCCTCCGCAGCACAGTGCTCCGAGCGGCCTTTAGCCATCGGCTGGAATTTGCCCCTGGAATGAACCCCACTTCCATCCCTGTATAGTAAGAAGAGCATGGGCTTGAGAGGGAGCAGACCCTGAGTTGAAATTCTGGTTTTCGCCCATGGGAAAATCAATTCCCCTTCCTGGGCCTCCCACCATTTTCTTAGCTATGGAATGAGCATGTGGATACTGACCCAACTGGAGTTTTCTGAGAATTTAATGAGAAAATGTGGGGAGAGTGCCCTCACAGAAAATGTTAGTTCCAACTGCCCAGATAGGGTGGCTACTTCCCCTGCTGCACTTCCTGAGGTAACTTACAAACACATCTGGTAGGGGCTCCAGCAGCTCTGTGCCACACCTGCATGCACTCACACACACAGTTCACTACACTGTACCCTATTTCTGTGTGCCTGTGGCTGCTGTTAGGCTGACAGCCTCAGGAGAAATCCCTTTTATATCTCATTTAACTTGGGACACCCAGGGATTAGTCAAGCACCATATACATAGACGGTATTTAATAAAAAAAAGCTTGTTAAATGAAAAAGTGAGAGATCCTGAGTCAAACCCAGACCACTGGACTAGAATATGCTTTTTCAAAGTCCATTCTATTGCTCTGCTTCCAGTTCCCTCATCCGTGTATTAATGAGGTTGGACTGAATGACCTGCAAAGGCTCCTTTTGACGGTTCTGGGTCTCACCCACAGATAGCTTCATGGCCAATGTATAGTCCACGCAATGGAGCAGCAAGGCAAAAATAGACGGTCTGTACAGCGCTGAGTGACAGAGATCATTTTGTAGCAAATTTATGATGCATGTATGTCACATGATTCCAGCAGAAACTGGCACCTGGAGATGGGAATATCTCGCATATTCGGTATTTATCCAACTAACATAACAGTGAGCAATTGTGATGTCAGGCACTGTGAATAATGAGACAAAGGAGACAGAGGAGTTGATGATTACCATGCAAGGTGCACACAAGAGACCCTAAGGCCATCCGCTTAATGGTCTCAACAACCGGTAGAATTATTGCCCTCTATGGGGTCACCATGGATTGAATTTTTAAAGGAAGAGAGATGTTAAGAATAGCAGCTACTATTAAATTGTTTTCAATATAAACAATATTTTTGAAATAATATTGAAATAATTGAAACAATAACAATATTGAAATCAATAATGGTCATTAAAATATTATTAAAACAATTATAATATTGCTTATTAAACAGCTATTAAAACAATAATAATATTATATAAAAGATGCTCATAACATATTGCTGAGTTTACTAAAAAAGGTTACAAAATACTATAAATAGTAAGATTCCATTCTTATTAAAAAGAATAAATTAAGCATGCAGTTGTGAATGTACATATGGGCACTTAGAAAAGATCTCGAAATATACATCCAAATATTCTGGTAGATATAGGCAGACTGACCCAACAGGTTTATCCTTCCTTATATCTTTTATCATTGTCTTAATTTTTTGCTTTGAGCATGTCTTTTTTTTTTTTTTAAATAATAAGCTCTCATTAAAGCTATTTCTGTTTTTATTTTGGGAACAAATTTACTTGCATGCACTAAATTTCTACTGCAAAAAAAAAAAAAAAAGTGCCATAAAATTGATCCCACGTAGTTGAGAAATGAGGCAAAGACTGCCTTTCCCAACCAAACTCTTCAAGGCAATTTCACTCCCTTTTACCTTCAGGCAGTTTACTAAGTAAGAAAACACACAGCAAGAGTGTGAGAAAGTCATTAAATCGTAAAGCCATGCCATAACCCTTGAAATTGAATCAATAAAAATCAATTGTGTAAAATCTGAGGTTTGTTACTGTAATACTCAATTATTTCCCATTAGTTGTACATTAATCACAAAAAGCACAAAGGTACAGGAAGGGAAATATACTGTGCTGTGCCCTGAGCGGAAGGTCCCAAACGGTCACGCCCCCTCCCACCTAGCATACCTAGGCTGATCTCCATTTGCAAGCAGGGGCTAGGCAGATGGAAGCCACCACAGATTACATATCAGTGGGCGATGCTGGCTAGACGCTCTCATTGATCTATTATCAAAGAATGAGAGTCCACATACTCCCCTTCCCAGATAATGAAACTTAAAAACCTTTTAAAATAAGCCCCCCCTCCCTTCCTTATGAAGGGAAGCCCACTGACTAGACCTCTGCCTTTCCTTGGTACCTGTGTCACCACTGCGAGCATCCTTACCCCCAGAGTGGGTGACAACACTTGACAGCTGCCCTTGCCTTGTGCCCTCATGGTGCAGGCCATCAGCCACCCACAGCCAGCAGTCCCTGCGCCTCCGACAAGCCCCTCTGCCCTTCTGTTTGCTGGTGCAGTAAGAATGGTAGCTGAACCAAGTCAATGGAGCCCTGAAGAATGACCTGGATGGGGGAGGGGAGAGCACATTAAAAGGCTTTGAGACAACTATTTGTGCTCAGAGGACATTTTCCATGATGGAGGTAGGAGCCAGAGATTGTTTTAGAGATTAAATAAATGCGGGGACACTCAGAAAACATAATTCATATCTATATGGGCTAATTTTAAGGATTCACTCCTGCTTGGCCAGCATGCCTCAGTGGTTGAGTGTCGACTTATGAACCAGGGGGTCATGGTTTGATTCCCGGTCAGGGCACATGCCTGGGTTGCGGGCTCAATTCCCAGTAGGGGGCGTGCAGGAGGTAGTGGATCAATGATTCTCTCTCATCACTGATGTTTCTAACTCTCTCTCCCTCTCCCTCTCTGAAATCAATTTTAAAAAATCTATCTATATATATAAATATATGTTTTTAAAAATTTTTTTTATTGATTTCAGAGAGGAAGGGAGAGGGAGATTGAGCCTGCAACCCGAGCATGTGCCCTGACCTGGAATCAAACCCGGGACCCTTCGGTCCGCAGGCCGACATTCTATCCACTGAGCCAAACCAGCTAGGGCATGAAACATGAAAACTAGCTAACTACCATTCATTATTTTTTTTTTTAAGCAAGCAAGCAAAATGGTTATTAAGCAAGTCATTTGCAGCTCAGTTCCAGTTTCATCTGAGATCTGAAAACCAGTACAAGGGCACAGGAAAACAGATTCACATCTTTTCTTACATTTCAAGCCCTCGCCGTGAAAGCAGGCTACGCAAGCTGTGGACACACACACACACACACACACACACAGATGTGGAGATATTCTGCTGTGAGTACACCCTGCTACTTTTTAAACAGCCAGCTTCTTCTCCAATAACTCAGTTTGCATTGCTTATGCTGCCTGCTGCCAAGAGAGGGGAAAAGATCCTGTGACAAACATCTACAGTTTTAACTCGGCAGGAGTATGAATCAGAGCACCACTCAAACTCTGTAGAAATATCTTCCACTTATATTTCTGATCACATTAACTTTTCCCTAAGCTAGTTGGAGTTGGTATTTACCATAATTTGCTTTAAAGGAATGTAATGTGATTACTTTGTAATAAAGAAAGCAAGGCTGGTAAGAGCATGCTGCTCAAATTCCAAGAATATGTCAGTATTTACTGATTTGCTTATGAACCAGCAGTACAGGGAGAGTGCTGATTACCCAAGGATTACCCAGGACATGGAGGTAAACAAATTAGACTCAAGCTCTTCCTTACTCCTGATTTCACCCGTTCCTTCTGATAGCCCCAAAAGTGCCCTTGGGAGAGGACTTCCCTTGTGTCATAGAACGTAGCACGCAGCCCAGCCACCCCCAAACATCACTCTGTTTGATTTCCTTGTATCACTCTCGGCACTAGTTTATTGGTGTACCGGTTGATCGATCGATTTACTAATTCACATCACCCCAATGGAAGCTTTGCCCATTTTATTCACCTACATACATCTTCCATGTACACAGAGCTTCCTAGATCCCTTCTGGAAGTTCTGATTCTAGGAATCTGGAATGGGGCACAAGCACTTGAATGTTATCAGTCAGGCTCATACTCAATAAGAAGAAAAGTATTGGTAAAACACGACCTGGTTAATAATTTACTACAATGAACAAATTATGCAATCTGAAAAAAGAAAAATATCATGCTATTTGGAAACATATTCTTAGTTTGCTTTGAGCAAACTTTCAAAGTTTGATAGAATATGAGGAAATGGGTGGTTAAATCTGTAGTAAGGATTAAAACAGAAGGAGATAAAGTAAGCTTGGGAAACACAAATAGAGCACGTGTGAAAGGTGATGATGACAGGAAAGGTGGACACGAAGAGCATAGAGGAGATGCCATTAAGGGCTCCCATAGGAACCTGAAAGTGAGAGAAAAAAGGTTAAGCTCTAAACCAAAGTCACCTTAAAGAGATCTTACTCGTCCCCAGGCCTGCAGGACCTTTACTGAAATCTGACTGAAGCAATAACATCTTAGAAGAAAGAACGTCACGAGAGCCAGGATGTCTAGAAGGACCCTATGCAATTTCCAGGGAGAAAAGTGCTTGGTCAAGATCAGCCTGTTCTGATTCTGTTCAAAAGGCAGCCTCTGATTGTAAGTGACCTTGTCATGTATTGAGTATCCAAACCCTGTGGTACTTATATTTCCTTAGTCCAAATAAATATGTTGGCATCTGGTTCATTACACAGACACACACACACACATGCATGCACACACGCACGCACGCACGCCATCCAGAGAAAGGACAGGCAAACGGAGGAAGGAAGGAGGCAAATTAGTTCTGAGGCCCACACTTTATTCATGTTCTTCCCTCTGCTGCCTTCACTGCCAATGTGTTACCTTCTCTGCGAAGCTTTCCCCAGCTGCTCCCCTCAGGTTGAGTCAACTGCTCCCCATTCCACGCTTCCAAGGCCCTCTCTACACGCTTATTGTCAGATCAGACACCATCAGTGGATCATCCCTCTATTGGCAGCCAGTCCGAGAGCACCCGAAGGCAGAAATGCTGCCATTTTCACCTTGGGTCCCCACACCTGATCGGGTCTGTATGCTTAGCAGGTGCTCCATTTTCAAGGAAGTAGGAAAGCTGAAATGTCACAGGCAGGAATCGCAGAGGTAATACAAGAGAAAATTAGATGCACTGCTTGCTGGATTTTCACTTAGAGTGATCCATTGCAATGCACTGGTTTCAGACAGAACATTTCTCAAGCAACAGGCCCTAATAACTTTATATATATACTAGAGGGCCGGTGCACAAAATCTGTGCACTTGGGGGCATCCCTCAGCCCGGCCTGCACCCTCTTGCAGTCTGGGAGCCCTCAGGAGATGTCTGACTGCTGCGGAGACAGGAGAGACTCCCGCCTCCGGGGCTGTGCTCGCCAGCCACGAGCCCAACTTCTGGCTGAGTGGCGCTCCCCCTGTAGGAGCGCACTGACCACCAGGGGGCAGCACCTGCATTGAGCATCTGCCCCCTGGTGGTCAGTCGATTTGCATATTAGCCTTTTATTATATAGGATATATATATGTATATATATGTATGTATATATATATGTATATATATGTATGTATGTGTATATATTTGATTTCAGAGAGGAAAGGAGAGGAAGAGAGAGAGATAGAAACAGCAACAATGAGAGAGAATCATCGATTGGGTGCCGCCTGCATGCCCCCTACTGGAGATCGAGCCTGAAACCCAGGCATGTGCCCTCAACTGGAATTGATCCTGGGACCCTTCAGTCCACAGGCTAACATTCTATCCACTGAGCCAAATCAGCTAGGGTCCTGATCACTGTTCTATGCCATGGAGATAAGTGCAAGGATATGGCACCACAGGAAACCCACCTTATGAATTTACTCAATAGCTTATTCTATTTCCAAACTTCACAAGCTGGTTGGGTGGGATTCAAAACTTTGTCATGAGCACAACTGATGCCTGGGGCTCTACGTCACCTAGAAAAGCCTGTTCACCCACAGACAGTTGATTACTTTATAGGTGATTCTGGACTCACAGCAATTTAATTTGCAGTTGATTTTTCATTGATTGATTCTTGGCCAGTTAAACCCTTTCTACCCTTGCTAATATTTGAAATAACTTCCAGCAGTCTCCTCACAACTGTGAGCCTTTTCTTGCCTAAGGCCCTGCTACTTCCTGCAAAGGGCGTGAGAGGTCTGTCTCTGTTTCTTCTGGTTATTTCTTCAAGACTCTCAGCCCTTTCCCAGAACTCCATGTACCCCTTACACCTCTATTTTTGAAAATAAACTAAATCTTAAAACATACAATTGCTTACTCTATTTATCCTGTGTAATTCATATACACATATACATATATTCATATTCATATACACACTTTCACATTTTAAATACATACACAGGCTTTATGTTACATACAAATCTTTTATTCAGAGCTGTTAAAATAGAGTATTGGTAAAAATTTCCTTTAGAGAGAGAATGAGTATTCCAGGCCCTTGGGTAGGAACATAATTCCCTTTTAAGAGATTGTTTTTACTGAAAATTCTATTGAACTTAGTTTCCCTCATTTTATCCCAGAAACGAGCAGGAAGTGTAAGCATGAGGACTCCCTGTGCAGACAGGGCTGCACAGCCTACCCACCTCATCCTCCTGTGGGCAAGGGGATCGTTTTCTTCCCGTGGTCACCATTCATTTCTGTAACAAGTGTTGGGAAAACAGGGTGGTTTAGGGACAATTCCTACCCTCGACGTGTTTGCCCTCTAGTACACCAAAAAGAGCACACACATAAAAATAACTGTCGTCAGGTAGTAAATGACATGCATCGAGTAGAATGAGCCAACGATAAAGTAATTCAGAGGAGAAATTTCTACAGGATGGGGTGAGAGAAGAATTGACGGAGAAGACAGGGTTTGAGGGGGTCAGGAAAGAAATACAGGAATTGGGTGGGAAGAACACTTTCAATTTGTCCCCTAACCCACTAGCCAAACACATAATATGTAAATATACCAAACGCCTTAGGATCAGGCTCCACACCGTAGGGCTGTAATAACAGCGAGCTGGGACAACACTGTGCGTTTCACTACAGGAACTGCAAACTGTGCTATCACAGGTACTTGGAAGCCAAGGCTGCTGGTCTGATTAAGGATGGTTTATTATCATTTAGGGAAAAAGAGTTTGAAGCTTTCCTTACAGTCCATGTGTTTCCACATTTGGGTTCATCAAACACATTTAAACCACATTTATATATATAAAAAGCTAATAAAATGCAAAGTGTCCCCTCGGGAGTTTGACCAGGAGAATGGAGTTGCATCACTTGCTATGACATGCACTGACCACCACGGGGTGGCACAGAACATGGCAGGTGACCACCAGTGGTGACAGCAGAGAGGTGGGGAACCTGATCAGCCCTGATTACCAGCCAGGCCTAGGGACCCTACCAGTTTACGAATTTCGCGCACCAGGCCTCTAATTATATCATAGTTTGAAAGAATCTGCTGTTTAAAACATTACTTTTACTGTCCTAGTAATCAAATGAGATTAGTAAGTCAAAATGTGTAAACAACAAAAAATAATTTATAAATTGTTCATCAGTGAAGAGGAAACATTTAAATCACATATGTCTAGATGCTGAGAAAGATCATTCAAAAGTTTAAGGGGCCACGTCTCTGAACTAGAGACCATCCATTCACTTTAGCCAGGGTATTAGACAAATCAGACACCCTACATTTAACAAGGGGAAAATAAATGGAGTCTAGGGTGCTGTCCCACTCACACCATGGAACGGGAGACCTGATACTCAAATAACAAAACGCTCACCTTCTTGTCCCTTCGCCTCTCACCCACAGGAGAAACATAAAACACTTCCTCTTTCAACACAACAACTTCTATTTTCCTGAAGCAAATGGGCTTATTTATTACTGTGTACAGTGATTAACTGGGCATGTTTACCCAATGATACACATATCCTGAAGGACTTACTAGTTAGGTCAACGTGGGTGATTCACTTAAACTTTCTAAGCCTTTCTTCCCCATCCGTCATGGACAGTAAATCCCCGTCCCAGGGCTGGTGAGGTCCTTCAGGGCAGCATTTAGCATTAGGGCCGTCCCCATGATCCTGACCTCTTACTGCTCCAGGAAAGGCCTCTGAGATTTGGAAATCCTACACTGGCACTGGTCAGAGGGGCAGTTTGGTGTAGCGTTTGAATAGCTTTCCCTCAAGGGCTAGGCTTTTGGGTTCAAATCCCAGACCCTTGGGCACTTTTTATTTAACCTGTGGAGCCCACTTGTGCCTCAGTTATCTCATCTGTAACATGGAAACAATAAGAATATCCACCTCCTGGGTTGCTGTGAGGGTACGTGACTGATGATGTATGAAGTACCTAGAGCAGTGTTCGGCACAGAGCAAGACTCGGGGTATTAGCCATTCCTGCTGCTGGCCCTGTTCCCCACGTGTAAGGATGGTCAGGGGCAAACTCAAGAGTCTGGCGAGGCGTGGAAAAATACTAAGTAACCAGCGTTATTCAAGATGCAGATTAAAACAACAACAGGTAGTTGTTATCTAAGTAATCCCAGAGGGATAATGATTTTTAAAATAAATTTAGTCTTTTAAGACATAGCTCTACAGATGGAACTAAGAGAGAAAGACCTGAGTGGTAGGAGTAGCATGCTAACCCTCTCCATTCCGCTTATCACCATTACAGCACTAGAAAGGCCACAGATATTTTTTATTTTCATGCTTGTTTCTTCTACTAGAGTCCCGTGGTCAGCAAACTGCGGCTCGTGAGCCACACACGGCTCTTTGACCCCTTGAGTGTGGCTCTTCCTAAGCCTTAGGAGTACCCTAATTTAGTTAATAACAATGTACCTACCTATATAGTTTAAGTTTAAAAAATTTGGCTCTCAAAAGAAATTTCAATCGTTGTACTGTTGATATTTGGCTCTGTTGACTAATGAGTTTGCCGACCACTGTACTAGACCATATGCGCCTCAAGGACCAGGACTATACACAGTCGACTTGCTTTGCATTCCCAGCTCTTAGCATAGTGCCTGACATAAATAAAGCAGGCACTTAGTCAATACTTACTCATGAGCGAATGATCAAATGAGGGAGTAAAAGAATATAGGTACATGTAGATATTAATCCAAGTGCAAGAAGACCTTTTATTATTAAAGAGCAGAACTTGACTCGGGGGTCACCAGGTAGGAGCGAATAGCAAAGGAGAAGATAGATGAACAGGAATGATGTTCCCATAACCTGGGACCTCAATTTCACGGTGCCTAGTTCTTACCATACGAAGCTTCTATTATGAGTCATCTTGTTTGTTAGGCAATTCCAATGAGCCTAGCCAGAGCTAATGTACTGCATGGAGCCTTGGGCAAAATTGCTTTATGTAGCAGATACACACCCATACAATTAAAATATTTAATGCTGTTCCCAGTTCAAATGAGATCAAGTCATCTGCTCATGCTTATAAAAAAATCTTATCAATAAATCTAATAAAACATTTGCTGTAGACTCAGAGACTCTGAGGCTTGCAAGAACTCTTAGTTTCTCTATCTATCCTCCAACCCTGTGAAAGCATCCCTAAGTACCACTACCCATGAGGGTCAACCAACATCTACCTCCA